AACATATTTCCACCGATGTTCCATAATATTTCTAGGTATTTCAAGATGTTTTGGTGTATTTTGACAAATTTTTTGAAATGTCATGAAAATAAATTCTCAAATTTTTATTTATTTCCATTTATATTTCTGAAACATTTTCATTTTATAAGTGACCGAAACAATGTACCAAACGAAATTTTGATCGTTGGGGAGAACAAGGTCAGCCTAGTGAGCTTTTGCCTTAAGGGAAGGGGTTGGGTTCCTCTAAGAACTATAATTCCGTGGCTACTAGGAACGTCATGAATCGAGCCTATTAGTTGAACCATTATTGGATTCGTGAGAGCCAAATTTTTGTCCTGATAATGGGAATTCATCATTAATTATGCATCATAGAATTGTCAGGTAATTTCAGATTGAAAAATTGTATGTTATGTAGGATAGGTTTGAATTCGAAGATGGGAGGAGAAAATAGGGAAACATTTGCAAGTGAGGATAAAATCTTTACTTTTGATGACGAAAATGGATTGTTCTTAAGAAATTTTTAAGAAAGGTGGAGGGAAATATTCAAGGTTGGGAAGGCTATAAGTTTATGAAAAAGCTTGAGTTCTTAAGACTCAAATTGAAGGTTTGGATTAGATGATGGTTTAAGAAACGAGAGATGGGATCTTAGGCATAAATTTGAAGAGATGTTAACAAAGGAGATTAGTTGGAGAGAAAAATTTGGAGTTCAATAGGAAAAGGAAGGGTATAATAACTCCCAAGTTTTTTCATAGGGTTGCAAATGGGAATAGAAAAAATAAAATCACTTATAAATTGGAGCTTGATGATGGAGTGATTGTTGAGGATCAAAATCATATTGAGGGTTTCTGTTTTAAGCTATATTCGGCTAAGAGTGGTCTAGGCCTTCTTTGGAGGGTCTTGATTGGTGTCCTATTGAGGGATCGACAGTAAGGTGGATGGAGAGAGACGTTTTGAGGTGGAAGAAGTTAAGAATGCGATTTTTGAGTGTAGTAAAGAGAAAGCTCCTGGGTCAGATGGCTTCACCATGGCTTTGATGAGAGTGTTGGGATGTGACCCAAGAATATTTAATGAGAGCCCTTGAGGAATTTTTTCAAAAAGGGGTGATTAATGCAATTACCAACGATCCAAAAGGCATTTTGAAACACTCAAAACATTTCTGATTCGTGGGTCACCGACACGAAACGAGGTCCAAATCCAAAATTCTCATGCTTCGACCAAAACAACATTGTTTCATAGTATTTCAATCAAAACAACCTTGCTTCAGTGGAAACATTCGCAGAGATTTGACACACTGACTGCAAAACCAAGGGAAAAAAAAGCCTTTTGTCTTAGAGGGAAAGATGAAAATCAAAGAAGAGGGAGAAGAGGAAAACAAAGTGAAGGAGAAAGGAGAAGAAAGAGGAACAGTTGTGATCAGATCAGACGCAGAGACAACCACAGCCAGGAGGTATGTTCTTCTTTTCTCTTTCTTTTTCTTCTCTACTTCTTCTTCTGTTCTTCACCTGGGAAGCCATGTCAAGGGTCTCTTCTTCTATTCTGGTTTTTTCGCTACAGATCTAGCCCATCGGTAGAGACGTAGATCTGGACGTATCTGTGCAGCAGTTGTTCCTTTTCATTTTCCTTTTTTTTTTCACTTTTTATTACCAGTGACATATCTTTTCGTTTTCGTTTTCCTTTTCTTTTTTTCCCCCCTTTTTACAACCTTATCCTTCTTATATTCTTTTTACATTATGCTGGCAGTTTTTTACTACATGTACAATATTATCCTTCTTCATTCTTCAGAACAATGTTCCATCAAAATGGTTGGCCCATAAGCCAAATTTGCCCTTGTTCTTCAAATTTTAATATTCAATATTGGGCTTGAGTACAAACAAGCCCTTTCCTTCCTCTAACTAAATTGGAAGTAGTTTTATGCTATAAATATATTTGTATGATGATTAGGGATGTTAATCGAGCTGAATTCGAGCCTAAATCGAGCTGAATTTACACATAAACGAGCTGGTTTGTTTAACTATTTACACATAAACGAGCTTTAAAAAGTGTTCAAGTTTGGCTTTTTTAACAGCCCTAATGATGATCATGAACATTTTATTTGTATTATAGGACCTTAAAAATGAATAACTTTTTGGTTTAATAAAAACGAAGTGTTGGAATAAATGTCTTCTAGTACAAACAAATGTTCATATAGAGATTTTAATTTATACTTCCATCTGTTTCCACACATTTCCAAACTTTTCTATCTTCGTCGTGTTTTCGAAACGTTTTTAACACGTTTCCATTTCCATGCTAACCATAACGGTACACCGAAATACATTTTTGATCCTTCGCAATTACTAATGCCACATTTATTTGTTTAATTCCAAAAGGAGACGACTCTTTGAAGTTAAAAGGATTTTAGGCCAATTAGCTTCTAGTTTGTATAATATCATTGCAGAAGTGTAGTCTTTTAAGACTTAAAAAATACTCAACTGAGACTATCTCTGAGTTTCAAGGGGCCTTTGTGGAGGGGAGATAGATTTTGGATGTGGTTGTTGTGGCTAACGAGGTGGTGGAAGATTATAGGGCTAGTGGGGTGGAGTGCATTATGCTTACAATTGATTTTGAAAAAGTTTATGACCATTTTGATTGGGATTTCTTGGATTTTATTATGAGCAAAAGGCTCTAGAATGAGATGGAGGAGATGGAATAAAAAGTGTTCGCAATCAATGAATTATCAATTATTTTAAATGGAAAGCCTAGGGGAAAGTTTAATGCTACGAGGGAACTAAGGCAAGGAGATCCTTTATCATCTTTCTTTTACTCTTGTAATGGATGGGTTGAGTAAATTAGTGACGAGGCTGAAGGAGAATAATTTGGTGGAGAGCTTTAAGGTTGAGAGGGATAGCATATTAGTGCCACAACTACAGTTTGGTAATGATACTATTTTCTTTTTGCCGGGAGATCAAGAGAAAATTTTGAATTTGAAGAAGATTGTGGATTTGTTTGGGTTATTCTCTAGGCCTACGATTCATCTTTGGGCTTAAGGTATGTGCAAAAAAGTTTAATCGTCAGACAAATTCAAATCCGGATAAAATATCCAGATTGGCATTGGCTCGGGGTTACTCTGTGGGAGGTTGGTCTCTTAAGTATTTAAATATTTTGTTAGTTGGTAATCCTTGTTTGCCTTTTTGGGATCTGGTCATTCAGAAGACAAGGAAAAGGTTGAATGGATGGAAGAAAAAAATAAGCCTTTATTTCTAAGGGGATGAATAACTCTTGTACAGGCCTCGACAAACATTCTTATCTACTTTCATGTCTGTCTTTAAGATGTGCCTAGTATGATGGCAAATAAAATTGAAGGGATGATGAAAGATTTTTATTGAGAAGGAAGGGGTGAGGGTAGAAAGGATAATTTGGTTAACTGAAATATGGTATCTAGACCAAAAGCAAAAGTTGACTTCTTCATGGGAAATTTGATGACTAGAAATGTGGCTTTGGTTGCAAAATGGCATTGGAAATTCTATTTAGAGAATAATTCAGGCATTTGGTGATTAAAAGCAAGTATGGTTTGCAGGCTAACGAGTAGACCAACAAAGTTGATAGAGAAAATTAAGGAAATCCTTGGAAATTCATTTCTTAGGGATTACCTTGCTTCTGTCAAAAGGCTAAGTTCATTATAGGCAATGGAATGGGAGTTCGATTTTGGGAAGCTATTTGGGTCAGTGACATGTCACATTCAAGGTTTTTTACTCGTTTATTTCGAGTTTCTTGTTATCATGGGCATAGCATTGCATCTTTGGTAAGATCTCATCCTACACCACTTTCTTGGGATTTTGAGTTACGTAAAAACCTTAGTGATAAGAGTCTTTGGAATTGGTATCGCTTCTTTCGGCTTTAACTCATTCATGTTGAATCTTGATGTGGTAGATAAAATATGTTTAATACTTTTTTCCAATAAGAAACACCAATTTTATTAATAACCGAAATAAAAAATTGGTACAAGGACAAATCAAAAGTGGACAAGTAGTCCAACCAAATGTTTTGTAAAAAAGCAAACGGCTTGACCATTGGATCCATGTTACAATTCACGGGGTGTCGTCCAACTCGCCGTAAGATTAATATTTATGATATGCTCAAAAGGTTTTCTCCTTGCTTTTGCTTATGATGGTGTGCAAGTGCAGAGGAAACAGTGAAAGTGTGGATCATCTATTTCTACATTGTCCCATTGCATTATCGTCATGGAATAAATTATTTGACTTGACTGGGCTTTGTTGGGTGGCCTCGCAATTTATTTCATCGTGTTTTGCTTGGATTTCAAAAGATTGGGCAAAAGTGGGAAAGGTGGGACTTTATGGCGTTGTGTTTATTTGCCATTATTTAGGTTGTTTGGATGGAAAGAAACTCAAGGATATTTGAAGATAAAATGGAAGTGATTAAAGCCTATGGGACCATGTTTGGGTTTCTTTTTGGGCTTCTGTGACAAATGACTTTGAGAATGTCCCTCTTTTTTCTATTACATCAAATTGGACAGCATCTTGTCATAGTTAGTGGGTGTTTTGGATGGTGCTTGAATGTGTATTGCTTTGCTTTTTGCCAACAAGTCTGTTTGTCATTTGGATTGGACGACTTGTCCAACTTTGCTCACATGATGTAACTTTGTTTCTTATCAAGAAAAAAAAAAGATATGAGTTTGAGTAAAGGATTGGAGCATCTTTTTAATTTGTTTTTACTTGAATTTAAATTTGGGTCAATATTTGAGTAAGGGCTGGAAATGATGTTACTATCCTATTCAATAAAATTTTTGGATTTAATAAATTTTCATATTCTGCTGAAAAAATGTGGATATCTACAAGAACTCAGCCTCAAACCACAAAAAAAACAGGAAACTACGGTTCTTTGACTACAAAGAATATTCATGAACACTAAGAATTCCTAAGACCCAGATTAACATGATACAAAAACCACATCAATAGCTTATTAACAAACAATTAATAAAAATTATAAGATAAAATTGAAGCATTGTTATAACAGGATTACAAATAATTCATAAGTGAACTCCCCTCACATACAGCCCACACAACCACTAAAACTGTAATTAGAAAGAATGATAATGACAAACAGTTGATAACGTAGAAAATTGCCTTCCAAGGAATCACAACAAATGATTATATCAACCAGCTCAATGATCCCTCACTCTGATCTCTAAGTATCCGAAGGACTAATGAACCAAATTGGTGTAAAGCTTGCAATAATTTGACAACTATTGTCAGCTGCAACAAAATTCTTTACAGCTTAAACTCACATAACTAAAGGACTTACATGTGTGTGTGCATGGATAAGACAAAGGTGGGAACGTGTCTGCTGTCTTCAAATTTGTGATGATGCATGGCAACAAGGTCAAGGCAAGAACAAAGAAAAAATGAAATGAACCTGTAAAGAGGCAATCGCAGTTTCACTATCCTTCAGCTTTTGTTGCTGTTCATCCATTAAAACTGATTTGGGTTCTAAAACAAACCTGGCCACAATTTATTAAGAGGAAAACACCAATTAGTAAAAAAAATAGAGATAAAAAAGGAATACAAAAATTGCCAGCAACTCATAAATCAAGAACAACAGATTTTTATCTAATTGTGTAGACAGATAGGTTATCCAGCACTCACGTTCTCCCTGCAAAACAATAAAAGACAGGTCATCACTCTCACTATACAATAACCCATGATTTAGCATGCTGGCAACAGTCATCAAAATCCATAATGCATGGACCTGGACACAGGACACCATCAAAATCCATACGCACGTGCTGATGCAACAAATTCTAAATGAGTAGGACACATCAACAAACAAATACTATGGTTCACCCAAAATACATATAATTTCATAATATAATACAATCAAACCCTTAGAATAACTAATCTTGACTCTAAGGCTGCAAATGAAACATTTATCTAACGAATTATAATAATCTATAATCATCCATGTTATATACACAACACAGAGGTATATAATTTAAGTGATCCATTCATCCTCATTCCCAAAACACCATGTAATTACCTTTAAGGGTTATACTCCTTTTTAAACTTAAAAATTGCATATAACTACTTTCAAACTGTGCAGCTTACGCTTTGGATGCTCTGGGATTACGTATTGGCAAGTCAACAGAATCAGCCAAGTGTCCAACATTATATATTTTATTATTCCAACAATTTATACGGCCAAGAGATGTGGAACATGGGACACTTGTCAGTGTCCAAGAAGCACTTGACACGTGCATGACACCTACAGGCAGCCTTCTTAGAGGTGTAGTTTCCTTGCTTCTTAAGACAAAATTCAGGAAGCAAAATGAACAACCTGACTACAAAGCTCTATCAAAACACAGACATTTTTATAAAGGAAGAGGTGGTAACCAAATGACTATAAATATGCACATGTATTCCAGTATAAGGATTAGTTTACAAACCTATCGATTTGTATGTATTTGTATCATCAGACAATTGTCGCAGTTCCTCCAAGGTTAAATAAGCACGTTTCTTTTCTCCTTCTTTGTTTCGCATCTGATTCTGAACCTGAAAGCCAGGAAGTTCCCCATCTCAATGGATATCTTTAAGTTTAACCCAACAAAAGTTAATAATCAAAGTAGTAAAAATTGCACAGACCCTCTGAGTTTTGACCAAATAACATGAACACCCCCACACATTTGAAAGATGACATGGAGATCCCATTCGACTTAATAATTTGTTGGTGTTAATGATTTCAACAAGTAAAATATTTTACCCTCCATTTGACAGGTCAAACTTAAATACATATAGAAAAGACCCAAACGTGCACCTAGACTCACAGTCAATAACTAGAAAACAGCTAGATTATTGTGGCATTAGGATTTGAAGAAGAAGAGAGATAAGGGGAAGAGAGAATTAGGAAAAGAGAGTAGTGTATTAGGTTACACCACTATACTCAACATATATATAGTTACAAAGTACAAAGTACTAAAATACCCTTAATCTAAGTAATTTAGGACTAACACGTAACATAACACTCCCCCTCAAAGTTGATGCATTGATATCTCTCATGCCCAACTTACAAACAATAAAGTGAAACTTTGCTACTAAGCTCTTTAGTGAAGATATTAGCCAATTGGTTTTATGATTTCACAAAAGTCATGCAAATCAAATCCTTATTTAATTTCTCCACGTGTTTAGTTCTATCATGTTGAACTGGATTCTGGGCAATGTTGATAGCAGCTTATTATCACAATATAACCTCATAAGTCCGTTATCACAAATTTTCAAGCTTTCCCAATAACATTTGAAGCCACATAAGCTTATAGATTCTATGGATTATTGCTATTTATTCAGCCTGTGCACTAGACCTAGCCACCACTACCTACTTATTACTTCGCCGTGTTACAAGATTACCTCTAATCAAGGTGCAATAGCCTGAGGTAGATCGTCTATCATCCAGTGAACCTGCCCAGTCTGCATTGCTAAATGCTTCTAGTTTCAAATGGCCACTATTGGAGAACAAGTTATCTTTTCCTAGAGTTGACTTAAGATATCTCAAAATGCGATAAACAACCTCAAAATAATGCGTTCGAGGGTCATACATGAATCGACCGACAACACTAACTGCATAAACAATATCTGGTCGGGTATGTGAGACATATATTAATCTCCTCACTAGTCTTTGATATCCCTCCTTTTCTACTACCTCACCAACACCACCACACAATCGATGATTGACTTCAATAGAAGAATCTATAAGTTCCGGTGTCTCTAAGAAGGTTAAAAACATACTTTCTTTGGGAAATGAAAATATCTTTATCTAACCAGACAACCTCAATTGCAAAGAAGTATTTCAATGGACCCAAGTCTTTGATCTCAAACTCCTTAACCAACTGAGCCTTCAACTTGGAGATGCCATCCTCATCTATCTAAGATGAAAAACCTAGAGAAATCTCCGTGTACACCTCCTCCAAATCTTCCTTCATTCTTCACATCCAATTGCTGTAAATTCCACACCAAATTAGCTGCACAAGATATAAATGCACAAATGGAATTCATCTTTGCCACAAGATCAAAAGGCTCTTGATAATCAAAACCATAAATCTAAGTAAATCTCTTAGCAATCAGCCTAGCTTTGTACTTCTCAATACTCCCACCAACTTGTCATTTGACAGTAAACACCCATTTGCACCCTACTATCCATGCCCCAGAAGGAATATAAACTAGCTTCCATGTGTCATTCTTTTTCAAGGATTTTATTTCTCCTACCATAGCTTCTCTTCACTTAAAAACAATGAGGGTCTATTTTCAACCCTAAGAAATAGATACAGAAGACAGGAAAGAAACAAAGGTACGATAGAATAAGGACAAGGAATTACAAAAGACAAAGTTAGAGATAAGATGTTTAATACAAGCTCGCACACCCTTTCTGACTGCAATGGAAAATTCAGAATCATCAACAACTGGATTATCAATAATAGGAGTAACAACTAGAGACTCATTACCTCATAAATCATTGGAGGATGAAATTGGAGTTGGGGAATCTAATTGAGTCAACGACACATGGGTAATTTGTACTTTTTGATACCAAGAATAAGTCTTCAGATTATCCTTGTGAAGGTGATCACCTTTCCCCTCAATAATCTAGTGCTCCCACTTCTTAACATTCCACTGAACAGGCAATTGAATAAGAAGCTCATGATAGAACACCTTTTCCTCTATAGTGGAATTCTCCCCCGAAGAAATATTTGGGTAATAGAAAAGAAAGACTCAAACCCACGAAAGGTAACATTCATACTCATATACATTTTTTGAGAGTATGACTAATAGCATTTATTCCCCTTTGAGAGGCAGAGTAATCAATAAAGACACATTGCAAAGCCTTAGGGTCAAGTTTCCACCTGAAGAGTCTGTAATCATGAACAAAGCAAACACACCCAGAAACTTTAGGAGGAAGGGAAGAAATAGAAGGAATGGACAAAGACTCTAAAAGACAGTCAATTGGGGACTTAAATTGAAGGATACTCGAGGGTAAACAATTAATCAAATAAACAGCAGCAAAAACTGCATTCTCCCGAAAGATTGAGATTGAGGAACATTCATAATAAAAATCAATGAACGACCAAACTCAACAAGATGATTATTTTTTCACTCAGCAACATCATGTTGTTTAGGGGTACTCACACAAGTAATTTGATACAAAATGTCATTCTCATTGAGGTAAGAATGAAATTCTCCATCAATGTACTCGAAGAATTTTGACTTTGACATCAAACTGAATACTCACAATTTTATGAAAAGATCTAGAACATGGAAAAACTTCACTTTACTTTATAATATATTAACCCAAGTAAGACAAGAATACCAATTAATAAAGATAACAAACCAACGACAACCAAGAATACACATAGCACAGTAAGGGCCCCACACATTAGAATGAATAATGACAAAATGAGCAGTACTTCTATTATTAATACTAGGGCAAGATAAAACCAACATTTATACTTGGCAAATTCACAAGCATCACAAATAAAAAATTCTTTAATACACTGTTTTACTAAACTAAGAAAAAGATGTTCTAAAACACCATATGAGGGATGTCCCAAATGTCTATGGCACTGCTGTAAGAGCTAATGGGCTAAATCTAGGAGTGTCAAAATATAACATGACTCGTTAACACGACACAGATGAGACACGAAGTTAAAAGGTTTGGCTCTTACTTAAGCCACCTATTTAGTAAACAAGTGGACCTAACACGATACGATTAATAAATGAATTGAGTATGGGTAAAGTCAATCAGAAGAAATACACGTCATGGCTCGTTTATATATTAGTTATACAAATTTATAAACGAATCAAATATGGGTGGAGTGTTTTTCTACACGAAGCCGCCTCAACAGATACGGTTAACAGGCTAGTTGAAACGCAATCTGTCTGAAGAGCTTGATAGGTAAACCAAGAAGAAGCTTCAACATCTAGTAGATACAAACCACCATATGTTCTACTAATGCCAATTGTTTTCTCCAATTTCATTTCCTAAAAGGTACAATGGGTAGGGAAGAAAGTCATTGAACAATTCAAAGATCTTGTAATACTGCTAACAATTAATAAATTAGTGAAAATTTTGAAAACATAAAGAACAAATGATAGAGATAAAGAAGGTGAGCAATTAATTAAACTTTTTCCAAAACTAGAGGATAAGGATTCATCTGTCACCTTAATTTTATCCTTACATGAACATGTAGAATATAAAGAGAAAATACTAGAAAAATCTATCATGTGGTCCATAGCTGCAAAATCTATTATCCAAGGAATATTTGAGGATGGTGCGGTGAATATAATAGCAGATATACCTATATGAGCAAAGTTGGAAGAAGAGATAGGATTGTCACGTGTGCATGTGATCGTACATTACCACATCGGCCAAATGTGGGACGTCCAATCACTTAACAAAACTTCGTAGTATGTCGGGTCTTCCCACAATAGTCACATTAAATAACCTCAACAACTATACCACTCATCTCAATAGACTTGGACAAGGCTGAACTCAAGTCACGCTAAGTAATAGTAGCCAATACAGACTACTCGGAGAAAGAGCATAAACCATAGCTATCCTTTGACCTCCTTGTGCTAAACATGGACATAGACTTCCCATAAAATAGAAAATAGTGTATTGCCCAAAATTTGAACCTGAATCTAATTATACTCAAGATTAAGGCCAGCAAGAAAATCATACACTCATTCTTTCTCCAACATTTACTAAAATTTGACAGCATCATTAGTACAATCCGCATAAAAACTCTGATAATAGTCAAACTCCTGCCACAAAGTAGTTAATGCAACATAGTACACTACAAGGATCTTATCCTTCTGATTAGTCTCCCGAACTTTCTTTCCTATGTTGTATGCCATAACATCATTTCTAGGTCTATCAATAGAACGGATTTTAATCCAAATCCAATCCGAATCAGAGTCCATTTAACCGGATGTAGATTAATATTTTAATCTGTTTATTCTAATCCAATTAAGTTTATTTAAACAGATTTGAATTTGGATACATATAAATCTAATCTGATAAAAATCTGATATGGTATGTATGTGTGTGTGTGTATATATACACTAGATATTGCACACGTGCATTGCACGTGAATTATTTTTGACAATAATTTTGATTTTATATTTATCATATCAATATATAGGTTAATTTGTTCAGAGCTAGAATATGATGAGAAATTGCCTCAATTGTGATTTTTGTAATTTATGGGTCCTCTTTTATAGTTTAATTATAAATATGGTAAAATACATTGACCACATACCCATATATAGCTACCACAACAATCTCTCATCTTTCAAAGTTTCAAGACAATAAATAATCGAACCAATTTGGCCTAGTCTAATTAATAAACCTTCCATAGGCCGCCCTCTTTTAGGATTCTATTATGCCCTCTTTCGGATTTCTTTTTAACTCTCAGTAAATGTTTTGTTCTTTTATATAGATGTATTATGCTAAACCTACAATAGTGATTTACCAATGCATACTCTTATTTGGTGAATACACAACTTCT